TCATGGCATAAAAGAAGGAGAAGTAAGGTCAGTGCAGGACAGGAAGGAGATGGAGTGTGGTTTGTTTCAGTTGTTTTGGGGTTTTTTTGAAGATCCATAATCTAGATAAATCAGAGAGACAGGTTCTAAGAACAAGCAGTGTTCAGATAGAGTAGAGAATTGGAGGTGAAAATCAATTGTTATTATAATTATATCCTTTTGCTCCTAGAAAGAGACAATCCTGAGCCGTTTCCATCTTTAAAATTAATTTTGGGGTTTTTGTTTGAAACTTTTTTAAGTACTGGAGTTAGATGCCTTTGTGTCAAAGCTAAGTTATTTTGAATTTATTCTTCATTGGTTGGTTTTGCCTTTATGATTTTCAAAATAATGTTTCAAACGTTAAATGCAATGATGGGTAATGGTACTCTGCCATATGGTGTCTTGATTACTTGATATTTTGTTCACCTACTCTTTTCTTCTTCTGTCTTCCACTTTATATAGCTTAGCAAAAATACCCCCTAAAGCTTATCTGAGAAGCAGCCAGGAAGGAGATGTTTTAGTTGTTTTTGTGAAGGGCAAGGATGTTCTTTGGACTCCTTAAAATAACAGATTGGAAAAGTTTCTACACTTGACCATATAGGGAAATATGTGCCTTGTATTTGAAGATCTGTAATCTACCTCAAAAAGTCTTTATGGAATTTTGCTTCTTATCGTGTTCTTCACTAGAAATTTGATTTTGCTTCCAAACACTTTATGCAGTGATTTTTAAAATTTTTTTTTATGCATGCTTTTGTAAAAATCTGTGCTGTCTATGACTCTGTAGGGATACCTTCATCATACTAGGCTCATGATGAACTATTGCTGCTGTAATCAGGAATTTACTGTTTTTCCATTAGTTTCCTTGGTGATAGCTATTGTTTCCTCCCACTCTTCTTTTGCTGTGAAAACAGAATCTTTCTTCAAGCTGAACTAAATGCGAAGTCTAGTGGCATACATACACTTGAGCAATAGCCTTTGTTTTCCAAGGGCAATCACAAGAGTAAAGTTTGAAGTTCTTGTCCTCTTATCCTGAGAAATCTGAGAAATGTAGAGGAAAGGGCAGAATGCCAGTGGGGAAAAACTGCTGAGAGCGAGAAGAGCTCTTGTGCATTAGTGACTGCTGCTGCAGGACTAATGGAAGAAGAGCTGATATTGATCGGTACAGATGAGTTAATCTAGCTGAACTCTTAACATAGGAGGCCACTTACTTCTTTTAAAACTATATATAATTTATTTTGTTTAGGGATACATCAGGGCAAGGGAGATTCTGCACCATATTTCGGTCTTACTCAAGAGGTGCTCAGGTAAGCGAAGTACAGCTTTCTCAGTGATGAGTAATGGTTGTTGGATGAATGAAAGCAGAGTTAGCAAACCATCATGGTGGCTTCTGTAGGTCACTTGTAGATTGCATGCAGATTCAGTAATAGTCTGAAGATAACATGAAACGTGGGAAATAACAAGGGGCAGGATTTTCTTTTGGGGAGGGGAGATCCGTGAGATTGGAGTTGAATCAGGGTAAAATACAGTGATACATATTCTTATGCCTTCTTGTTGGTTACCTCAATAACTTAAGCATGTTATCTTACTTTGATCATGTGAAAGCTATGCTAATACTACTTTTTAAAACTGTGTGCCAAGTAAGAGAAGTTGATAACATAAAACTGTCAAGAGTAATGTGAAAAATACAAACATAGTCTAAAATGTGATGAAATTTAATGACTTGTAAGGAAATTACTTTAAAAAAAAACAAAACACTAAAAGTCACTACAGCTTCAGACTTTAAAGTATTGCTATAATTCATGACATGTACTGGCTCTGAGTTGCATGTTATGTTCCAGAATTGCACAGAGCATTGAATCTTCAAGCTACCAAACATGACCAAAAATACTTATTTGCTATGACTTGTGATGTGTGTACGATCAACCAAACTTGTCCACTACAAAAAGAAATATTTACCAATACATTAGACCCTAAAACTAAGTCAGGGTTTCTGTCCCTTAGCTGGTCTGTAATCTACACAGTGAGATGGGGCTTGGTTTGTCAGGGTGCTGAGGTTCTGTTCCACTGAGAAGTTGCTCAGCATCTTACAAGATTATTTCAGAACTGCAGAATTTACAGGTAGTATTCTCTGTGTTATGCCTCTGTTGAACTTACAATTTTATTTTTTTTTTTAATACAGGGAGTAATACTAGTGTATGATATTACAAATCGTTGGTCATTTGATGGAATCGATCGATGGATAAAAGAAATAGATGAGGTAAGGTACAATCCCAGAGTGTCACTAGTCTTTAACAGATGACTAAGACCGACTGCTTATGATATTTTCTACTGTTTTTACTGGCATTTGCAGGCAGTGCTTACTACAAGTTATCCAAGATGCCAAGTTTACAATTTTCTTTCTGTGTTTATAATTCTAGAAAGTTGGAAACGTATCAGCTAAAGTGCCTGCTTTCTTTAAAGGTGTTGATGGAAAGCATATGGAGGGCAAAGATTTCATACTGTAGTCCCACTCTTGCTACAGATTTGCCACATCATCTGTGCAAGCCTGTCTTCTCCGAGGAAGGGACTTTTTAGATCAGAGAATCATAGAATAATTTAAGCAGGAAGGGACCTCTAGAGATCATCTGGTCCAACCTGCCACTTAGTCTTTAAATCTTGAAAAAGCTTTTGTTTGTTTTAATTGAGGGAAGGGGAAAATGGAAGCCAAGCCGTTAATTTTTTTATTGCTTCTCTTTGCTCAGCATGCTCCTGGTGTACCAAAAATCCTGGTTGGAAATCGCCTTCACTTAGCCTTCAAGCGCCAAGTGTCTACTGAACAAGCACAAGCCTATGCTGAGAGGCTGGGCATGACTTTTTTTGAAGTCAGTCCACTTTGTAATTTCAATATTACAGAGTCCTTTACTGAGCTAGCAAGAATAGTATTGATGAGACATGGAATGGACAGGCTCTGGAGGCCGAACAAGGGTAAGCGATGTACACTGAAAATGTGTAAATTTAGTCCTAGCTAAGGTTTATGGTTCATTAATATAAAATAATTTTCAGAAACTTTAACCCTGATGCAAAAACATCAAAAAAGAAGAATCGGGAATCCTGTACAATTTGCTTTCTAAACAGAAAATATGTATCTGCAGGCATAACCTGTTCAGCTTTTGTAGGGAATAACGTATCTTTCCTAGAACTTACATGCTCAGTCATCTAAGTATTAAGACATAAATAGGAAACTGAAGCAGCAGGTATTTTGGATAAGGTATATGTGGGAAAGGGTGTGGGAGGAGAAATGGGAACTCATCCTGGAAGTACAAAGTGCATGCAGAGTGCTGGGTATGCTACTACCATGTGGCTGACAAAAGCGTGCTATTATAATGGAAGTTTTATGTCTGTTTTTAAGTACTGAGTCTGCAAGACCTTTGTTGCCGTGCCGTAGTTTCCTGTACCCCTGTGCATCTTGTTGACAAGCTCCCTCTCCCTGTTGCCTTAAGAAGCCATCTCAAATCTTTCTCCATGGCAAATGGCCTTAATGCCAGGATGATGCATGGACGCTCATACTCCCTCACATCCAGCAACATCAATAAAAGGAACAGCTTAAAGAAAGCTAAAATTATCCGTCCACTACAGAGCCCACCAAAAAACTGTACAAGAAACAGCTGTAAAATTTCTTAAGCTCTCTGTGGGAAAAGGAACCTGGATGGAATCCCCTCATGTGAAGTGTTGAACACGAGGACTCCTTGTTTAATGGTTGAGCACACTCTATGTATGTATCCCACCACATAGACAAAAATAAGAAAAATAAGTCTTATTTTAGAGCTTGCTCACTACAGTAATGCTGCTTTGGAATGAATGACAGGTTCAGTGCAACTGAAAGGATGTGACATTTTGCTGTTGGATTTTCATACTGCATTTTAGTTTCTGATGCGCATGATGCCGTTGTTTTTACTAGTAGATGTGTTTTCATATAGGGGATAATTATCATTATATTCAGTTCTTAATTCCATGAAATCTGGAAAGTGACTTACTGTGTAACTGTATAAAATCCTGTCTTTTTGCAAACTATTCAAACATACAAAAATAAGTCATCGGTTTGCATATTCAGGCAGAGGTTTCTAAATGCAATGTATTGTATACATTGTTAAATTCTACAAACAGCGTCACAAATTCTAGTAATACTGCAATTGTGCATTTGGATTTTTTGTAAAGCTTCCTTGATAGCTTTGAAGCACTAACTTAACTAAGCTAAAAATGTGTATATATAATTATTATGCACATACACAACAAGGTTCTGTCCCATTAGTGTATGTAATAGATTTGATAAAGTTTTTCATATGTTATTTAATACTTTGGGGAATTAATTTGTGGTTTAAATACTTATTTTTCTGTAAAAAAAAAAAAATTTAAAAATTACGTTTTATACCACTCTACAAGAAAGTTCTAGGAGGAAAATGCCAAAGACACTGTGGTAAAAGGAATGTCACTTGAAGAGCTGCTTTATAAGGAAAGAACACTGTTAAAAAATAAATAAATGTTTCTGGAAAAGAAATCCTATTATGCTTTCTTTTAACTGGGGGAGGTTGTCTTTGTCTTCCTTTGGAAGAATCTGAAGAACAGTACACCTGAACTAGAGACCAGAAATGTGAAGTCATCCTAAAAGCATCAGGTAATGCTTTTGATACAACATCTGTCTTCAAGATTGTTAACTGAAATATGGAAGAAGAATACCTGTCAAGTCTTCCTTCTGTTTGTGAAGGAATTGCATGACTTGTTCTCCTGAGCAATGACAATCCTTCGAGGTGATGGTGTAGCTTCATCCCAGTTTCTCCCAGGTGTCTTCACTATTGTGAGATACCATCAAGTTTCGTATCTATAATATTCCTTCTGGATCAGCACAGATGTCCACAGCCTCTGTAAGCGAGTAGGGGAAAATTCAAGCCAGTAAAATGCCAAAGTCATGCCAGGACCTGGACGAATCAATGCAATCCAGAAAAGTGCAATCCAGAACAAGTCTTCTCATAGTTAAAGGCTAAATGGCAAAACAAAGTGCGGTAGAAGGAATTCCGGTCAGACCGCTCCCTCGGTGCTGAGCAGGCTCCACCTGCTGGTCTGCCTACGCCGAGTGAGCTGCAGAGAAATGCTGTAGGTATCAGGATGAAGCTGTAAGACTGTAGCAGTTGCATCTCCACAGCTTAAGCAAATGTACATAGCAGCCTACAGCTGCAAGAGGTTAAACCTGAATCGGAGACGTCCATACTTTGGGAGCGGCCTGGTTATGTTTGACTAGTGGCTGTGTGCAAGATAAAGAGTTCTTTACCATGCACATTGCTATACTGCTTTGAGTTTCTTCCGAATTACAATCTCGCCCTAGCTCGATGGAGCATTAATATGGATGTGTGTGTCCTCAAGGTCAGATTCTCTATTCCTCCTGCCCGCCAGTAGAAAGACAAGGTAAAAAGGAGAGGCTGCAGCAGCGCTCCTCCCTTCTGGTAATGCCTGCAGGAATCCCACATGGAGTAAGTAAAGCCCAAGTCTGTAGTTGGAAAGAGAAGGATTTTAAAAAAGTGAAGAAGGGCTTTTTATTTCATATACCAAGTCTCTTGACTGCCTGAGGAGACAAAATCTTGTAAAGATGCCATGTGATTGTTTTATTTTTTATATATATAATGAGTGCACAAAGAATAATGTACCAACTGGTCACTGCAGATCGCTCCAGGAGCGTAATGAGCCATTGTAAACTGAAAAGCTGTAGTCATTTCCAAATAGAAGCCTGCACTAGAGAAGAGTAGGTCACAAATCTGAAATACACCACCAAGGCATTGGCACGGAAGGCACAGAGCAAGTATAGAAAAGGAAGTGAACGCACATGAAGGATAGGGAATAGCTGGCTTTTGTGTGAGCACACAGAAAGTGTGGGCTTTCAGCTAACCATATGGTTGTGAAATAATTCAGGTTGGAAGGGACCTCAGCAGGCCCTCGGGTCCATCATCTTGCCTCACGTGAATTCACTATTGAGCTCCAGTCAGGTTGCTCAGGACCTTGGGTCTTGAAAACTTCTAAGTTTTCAGGTTGTTTTGGTTTTTTTTTTTTTGTGGTGGTGTTTGGGGTTTGTTTGTTTTTTTGCCAAGTTAGGGCATCCCCTATTTTATCATATTCCAATTGTATTTCTTCTGTTTTTACTAGTTTGACGCTTGGTACGCTTTTGACACGAGAGCTTTCTACTAAGTGGCCCTTTAGACCTGGGAGGGGGCCCAGGGGCTGTACAGCGCTGCCCCTGGACTCGCACCGGGTGGCAGCTCACCCTTTACCAGGCCTGGGTCACCCATCCCAGCTCCACGGCCAGCAGCCCTGTTTTGGCCTTGGAGAAGCTCGGGGTGCTCCCCCTGCGATGGCCCGGTGAGATGGGGGGCTCCCCTGTGAGGAAGAGGGGATCCCCGCAGGCCTGCCAGGCCCGCGCAGGGATCGAGGGGGTAAAGCTACAGGCCCGGGTTCCCCAGGAGCCCCGAGGAGCGGACTCACCAGCCCTGCGGTGAGGGGCAGGCCCCAGCCCCTGCCAGATCCTCCCCGCAGCGGGGGCCTGGGCCTGCGCCACCCTCGGGGCATATCCTCCCCGAAGCAGCCCCCGAGAAAACCCCTCTCCCTCAGAGACGCACCTAGCTGGCGAGGATCCTCCTCCTCCCGCCCAGCCGTAAATCCCCCCCCG